TATATATATATATATATAAAAGAATAAAACTATAATTATATATAACAAAGTCACAGTCACCTCAACCTGTCTATCTATAACAGGATACCGAGAACTGTCAACTTTATCATCACGTTTTCAATAATTAATATTTTAAATTACAATGCATGTCTGCAAGGTTGTGTCAATGACCAATGACAATGCCAATGACAACGTTGAGTCAACGTCACATTATGACGGTGTTTTGACGTGGCTGGATCAACGTTGATTTTACGTTGAATTTAGGTAGATCAACGGCAATTCAACGTATCAACCTGTTTTCAACGTTGATCCAATGCGACTATGCCTGCTGGGTTATTCGTAACATGAAAAAAGTTACAAAGTAGCACTGCAATATGGAAAGCATTATGAGGGTACTTCTAATCTAGTTTTCTGATAAAATATTCAATGACTACATAGAATGCATGCATGTGTGGATGCAATGTGGGTAAGTGGAAAAAAGGAAAGAGAAGATAAGCAAAAAGGTGTCAGATTGTAGGCCTACTGAATTTTACCTGTCATAGGCAGGCCTACAAGTTTCTGGAATTCCATGATAATTTTTTTCCTCAATTCCTCCGATCTGATAGAGCGGGTCCTGGGATCTTGAGGGGGAACCCACCCATAGTCAAGGAGATATTGCTGAAATACAGGAATTGAAATACATTAAAATATTCAAATATTTCGATCCCGTTCTTGCGCTGTTTTGCTGAGCCCTGGACGTTGTACAAACAAGATCATTTACCATGTAAGTTGCATCGCTATCCACTGTCATTTCTCCCTTAACGTTTACATGGTCTGCCGCAAACAGCAGAATTAGACAGAAGAGTACTGCCGACTGCTCTGTCTCCATTATCACTTGAAAATTTCAAAAAGTTTTATATTTAAAGTAAGGCTCCTGTCTCAAGGTTTCGTCTTCTTGTAAATATCCTTTCGTGTAANGAGAACAAAATATACATTCTACCAAGATATGCAGTTTCAAGTCCTAAATTAGTACTTAGTGGCATAGCCACGTGACCTAATAATAGCTGCCAGTCTGCGAGGCAAGGATTCATATAATTGTCTGATGCGTTCAGGGCTTATGCTGGCCCAAGCATAAATCACTGAATCTAACAGAGTTTGTCTGCTGGTTTGACGGGCATTTGTCAAAAGTTTTGACATATCATTCCACACATTTTCTATATGTTTGCATCTAGACCCTGGGCAGGCCACATTTCAAAATGTCATTATTGACCAAGACAACATTTAGTATGAACATTAAACATTTATAAAATAAATTGGAGTACATGTTACAGCTGAAAAAATTAACCGGGCCAGTAAGTGACTGCTTTTAGGAAATTTTACTGGAACAGTCCGAATTTTACAGGGAATCGGTAACATATTATAATAAAGAAATATAGATATCTAGGTTTTGGGGGTTTTTTTTCACATAACAGTAACACTTTTATGTCCACTTTTGAAATGTATAGAGTCTGTGAGGCGACTGGGAATCATTACAAATGTCACGAAGAAGCACTATAAATTTAATGATATTTCAAACAGTCTCTGTTGGCCAGTCTTGTCCAGTTTCTTCTCCAAAAAGGACAACTCGAGCTACATTTTCCTCAGGGCCTTTTCTTCTGCCTTGCTTATGGCACGCCACTCAGAAAAGAGGGAAACCCGTACGTTAGAAAAAAAAAAACATTATGAATGTAGCATTATGAACTACATGTACAAGTATCCATGTATAAATTATGGAATGAAGCAATGAAGTTTAATGTGTCATTGTTGTTATGACTTGACTGAAATAATATTAACCACGTACATAAATGTACAATTTACAACTAAATTAATGAAAGAAAAAGAAGTTTCTTAATTACAGGCTCATAATCCCATGAAATTGAAGAATGTGTACTTATTACAAGAAATTAGATATCATTCATACCAAAACTATTTAAATCTGCCCCGGTTACCACTCTTCTGACAGGACACACAGGCCATTTCAGACAGGCCAGTCACTTAAAAGGAAAATGCGCAAGGTTGTTGTTGTTTGAAAATGGTGAAAAAAATTGTTGTTAGTGAATGTTTAATGCATTGTAGGCTTACTTCAGACACACTGACCTTCTTTTCTCATTGATATTTTTAATTCTTCCCAGCCTGACCATGATTCATATTCAATACAGCCTTCTCTCATATCTATAGTACAAAAAACTTGAGTAAAGTGTTTAGATATGCATGTCCGAATCATTATCAATTATGAGAGAATTTCTGTTTTGACATTGCAAGACGAAATGTTTACTTTGAAGTAATGAATAAGCCGTTACAGAGCTCAATTCTTTTGTCATCACCAAGGCAAAGCTTCTTTCGTAAAATGAACTTATACATCCAAGCTTGCCACCTTACATACCAAAGTAATATAGTATAATGACAGTAGGGAAGCATGTACCCCTCAATTATAGAGATGTCTTATACACCTTGACTCAAAGGGAAATGTGTAGTAAGATAACAGGTAAAGTAATTGGTGGAGCCTAAGTGAACTTAAAACATTATGACTTTAATTTAAGAAGCACTGGGGTTCATATGAGTATTTTCAAAGATTTAATTTTATTTAAAACATATGTAAAAAGAGAAGTTTATAACCATAGCAAAGACATAAAACTAAGCTTCCTGTTAAATCGCCATGATGGAAATGCTAGGCAGGGGCCAAACCTTTCCAGTCAAAATAATTGAGCACCTTACTTTAACAACAAAGTTACCACTCCAAAGCCACCTGCCATGGTGAGAAGAAAAACGATGACCATCTGTCATCTTAATTTCTTGATTTTTTAAGCACAAAGACATTAAAGGCAAAAATGGTACATTTAACTACAGTATAACACTACATGTACATGTAAAGTGATAAATTGCTACTCAGAACAAAAAGGGTTATTTTTTCAAGAAATATGGAAGCAATATCCATGCAATATATACCAAGCCGCGACCAACATGTTCAAGTACCTAAACACACCAAAATCTTTTATAATCACGCTTTTGAAAGTGGCAATCAACTTTAGGCGTTTGGCCGTAACAAGCGTAACAGTTTTTGATCTGGACTCGAGGGCGTGAAAAGTGGCCCTTGTCGTATTCAAGCAAGATCGCTAAAAACAACAATACTGCTCAAGAAAATGTATTGCAGACATACCAATATTTATTAGTTAAATTATATATCCGTCATGTGACACAAGTATAAAAAATAGGGGGAAAATGTATTTTGGGGAGATTTTTTCCCGAAACGTAAACAAGATGGCGGCCTACGCATGTACTTGTTATTCTGAAAGTGCACCTAAGATTTATTCTATCCTATTGCCACAAATTACTAAACAATTGCAACTGTATAAAGACCAAACTTTCGTCATCTGATACTACAAGTATAAGCACTTGTAATGCGTGGGAAATATTTTTCGTGCAGTATCTATTTTCCACACACCACCTCGCGAGATCGACATGGAGCTGAACACTTTAACAGTGAGACCTTCGGCATACAAATTGCAATTTATCACCATATTACCTGTAGTTATGCATTTAAAAGCTCTTACCTGTTTTTGAGAACCTTATCCAACATCATGTCCTCTGCACTTTGTATGTCTCTCATTTTAACGAACTTTTGAATGCTTTTCTCTTTGTGTACTCTCGAAGAAACTTCTGAAGGCACCTTTTCCGGAAAACGAGATTTAAACGAGACCGTAACGGGGTCATGTCAATACTCCCCCGCACCGATAATCCTCCCTAGTAATTTTTTTGTATTATGCACATCCATACGACCCCACACCGATACATCCCTGCACCGGTACATCCCCGCACCGATACTCCCCCTCAGTAGGCCTATATCTGTAATTGTGGGGGAGTATCGGTGCGGGGAAGTATTGGTGCGGGGATGTATCGACACGTAACCACCGTAACAGAGATTGTTCTCTGGGTTCTATTCATTCCGACCAATGAGAGACGTAAAACGGGCTCCGCCCCCACGCGTGTAATCTCCTTCTGTTATATCTCCTTGGTGTAAGTATCATTGCACTTTACGCTCTACTTTGATCTACTGATGCGTGTCACCTAGAAGGAGCCGAGGTCTACACAATGAGCTCATGCGCTCGAGTCACCAAGCTTGGCACACTGTCATCCTGGTCACGTTTGTGGTTTTGGTTAATGTCGTTTATATAAATACCCCTTTTACACTGGACGGCGTCCTTTCTGCGACCATGAAATTTGGCATCGCTGTGGTCTTAATAAGGAGGCACGAGCATTGATTTTGTATCAGAATGAATGCTCATTGTCAGCACGTAAAGTATTAAATTTTTTAACTTTCAAATGGGGCCGTACTGCTGGACGCAGAAAGGACGCCGTTTAACGACAAGAAATCCGATCTTTCCTTTACATTATATTTTTTGTTGAATAAATCTGCACGATGAAGAAGTTGACCTGCTTACCAGCGCTGAAATGATCTTTACAAAGGAAAACATTCAATCTACAAATGCTCACATGAATTTCATGTGTGTGTCTGCACATTTTTTGACGGCGTTGGTCTTACGAAGATAAAAATCAGCTGTCCGACAAAACATCGGCAAAAAGGAATCACTTACTGTAAGGTAATTGAAATGAAAGTAGTTCCCTTTACATTACATTTTTTTTTTTGGACTGACCTGCTTCCTAGCGCTGTTATGTCCTATACAACACATTGAAGGAAAAAAAAAACTGAATCTACAAATGCCCACATGTGTGTGTCTGTACATTTTGATGGTGTTGGCCTTACAAAGATTAAAATCAGCTGTCCGACAAAACATCGGCAAAAAAGAATCACTAATTATAAGGTTTATGTAATTAAAGTACCTTTAACTTGCATTCTATGTCTTTTTTAAAGAAAATACCTAAAAGAAAAAATGGAGCTTATTTCGTTCTGTCTCGATATAACTTGATAAGCGTTTGTTGCAAAAATTGGATAAATTCATTATATTTACACAAAAGAAAGTAAAAAACACAAGAGCGTACAGTGCAAATTTTAAAGGAAAAAAAAGACAAATTCCATTCAGGAAGGCCTGACTTTTCATGATTCGTTTCAAAAATCCTAACACATAGATAATTTTGATCTCTCCATGCAAACTAATTAAATATTGCCATTTTTCGTTAAAAGGAAAAGGCATAGTTTCAACCCAAAGGTTGCTAAAAATGATGTACTTTATTATTATGGATCGGCCAACTAAATTCTGCAAATTTTGATTTATGATTGTTAGAACTTCACCAGTGACTTTTGATAAATTTTAAAAGAAGGAACACAGGTCGTGGATAATCCAGGCGGATTTCTAATAAAGGACAACAGTGAATAAGACAATTCAATAAACATTAATTCGTATGCACACCTTTGAGACAGATCAAATATATGTGAAAATGGGAATAAATTATGATGTTTAGCATTCTTGGAAGGCATAGATATTTGAGTACTTTCATTTCTCGCCTCCTCACATATCAGGTTTACATGGCCTGTTTATTGGGCTTTTTATTTTCAGTCATGCGCGAGTTGATTAATAATGTATCTTTACGTAGTAATAAGGAACCGTTGGTTCGTTCTGAATTTTTTTAGAAGTCATGTTTCCGAGAAAACGCATTTTAAGAACAGCGTCATGCCATCCAAGGAAGAAAGGTCTACTTTCATTTTGGAATTTTAAGAATTCTTTAATTCTTTCTTTGGGGCAAAAAAAGTACCTCGGGGGATTTGTTTAATGTGAACGTGTTATACACTTTCTATTCGCGACCTACATATGACTTTTTTCTTTAGCCTCCCCTCAAGCCTTGATCTGCTGAACTGAAAATCCTGGTTGAATAAATACATGCAACATCATAACACGTAGCCTTCTTACCAGAAATGTAACCGTCAATAGGAGTCTTAAATAGTTAGTGACCTTCTTGTGTACTTAAACCGCAAATATACAGGTATGAATTTTGTATAACATTAGGAAGCGTCTACCAAGCGAATTAAGAACGAATGCTGGCTATTATGTAGAATGTTTTGTATTGGTGCTATTAAAGTGACCCGTCAAGGTATTGTGCGTGCCTGTATGGTAAATTCCATGTATAATATTTCGTATATCATATCAATTGTATGTGAAGTTTATTTATTCCATGGACCAAGGCATTGCTTGGGCCAACATTACAGTGATTATAAAAGTATGCCATTGTGTTAGTTGTGGCACTTTCTGGTCACATTGTGAACAACCGGACTTTAGCAACTCTGTTTGAGATCTGCAATGTTGGGACACGAAATCCAGTCTCAGATGCACAGCGAATTTAGCGAACGACAATCGAATAGTGTCAGAAGATCTAACTCAGGTTTCTATATTTCATAAATTATTTCCTTGCCCAAGTTACCAATAACCGGTGCTACAAGCATACTTTCATGTTCAAGTTAACACGAAACAAATATTTCATCTACATAACAGGCGGGTAAGTACACATTCAAAACATGAAATTCTAACAAGACATTTAATTTTTTTACACATTTATTGATCTTGCTGTTATTTCTTGTAAAAAGCCTATGGCTTTTACAAACTACGTTGTAAAGATCAAATCTGAGGACTGAAAACAGACAGAAAATTTTACATCTTTTTTTAACTAGCCAATAAATGCTTCTGTAACACACTTTACAAAACATAAAGGTCACTAAAATAATTTCTCTATCATGCAGATGGGACTTGTGATAGAGATACAAATTACGCAACTACTTAAAAAATTATTAAAGTGTACACAAATTAATGCAATAATTACATAGTTACCATCCATTAACAATATCACACAGTAATTAACATTTTTCTAAAAAATCAATTATTTTTGTAACTTTAAGAGATAAATGATCAGCATTTAGTGATAATAATAACCTGGCATCATTTAAGACTGCAAACAGCATATTACATTGTCTACAGTTGTTAATAAGTCGCCAAACCCTGCTGCCAAAACAGGTTCAAGCGGTCACGCCAATTTTTTTTCCTTTCGGGAAATTATTTCACTTCTACTGCTACACTTTCATTCAACAAACAGAAAACAAGATAACAAGAAATGCCATGTTGAGAATGTTTTTCACACATATCCTGTAGGGATCATCAAAATACACAGTGAGTATATCAACTTCTGATCATATGATATGAAATACTGGTGCAAGGGGCCAATAGGATTTGTAACACTGTCTAAAGGTGCCAACTCAGTTCAGAAAGCCGATGCTGGTTCATCAAATTATTCCACTGTTATCTGTATATGTGATATACCAAGCTCAGTAGTTCCAAGGAAATAAGTTTTGATATGGCAGTTCAAGTGACTGAATTCAGAGCATATAGTCGGAGTAATGTTATGTATCATATGCATATTTGGTATATTGAGTTATGATTAAGTACAGGGTGAAATGCTTCACTGTTTCTCTAATGTTATATCCACAAATGGTCTCCATACTAGCCAGCCTAGAATAATTTCCCATCAGTGAATTCCTCTAAATAGAAAGCTGTCCATAATGCCACACTTGATCCAAAAGAGAATGTTATATGGATAAGTGTGAGAAGAAATGTCCATGAGGCTTTGATTAAGACTTCTGAGCATGTGGTGACCTCTTGTAGATGAAGTGACAGAGGTGAATGCCCAGCACAACACAGGTCAGTGATCCCAAGGCTATGGCCAGGGCCACACCTGCATTGGCACCCACTGACAGGTAACCTGGAGCAGCTGGAGGGAAAAAAAAAGAAATTAGGAAATGTGAGTTATCTTTATACTTTGTATAAAATTGAACCTTGCTGAGCTGTAATTTCAGTGCAACAGAAATGATTTTTATTTTATTTATTTTTTGGACTGGAAGAGAGAAAACAGACATGTGATCCCAGAAATTATTTTTATCAATTTAGATTCTCACTTATAAACTTATACTAGAATATCTGTAACTCAAATCAGCAACACATTTAACCCTTGCGTCCTTTTTCTACTCCCAAACTACACAAAAATCCACATAAAGCACGTACGGTGATTAGCCTCAAACTCCAAATTACAACTGTTTTAAACCCTTCTCAATAACAATTTAAATTCCATAGTCATTTGACTCTGTTTCACCGTATTGCCAAATATATCACTGACTGCAAATGCACTTTATGAAATGCACCGATTTTTAGAAGGGGCGATTTCGCAATCACCAAATGCATGGAGATTGCATCTCAAATTTGAGCAGGTCTTACTATAGCACTTACAATATTTGTATGTCTACAAGAAAAAATCAACTCAAAAGAATAAAAAATTACTTACGGACTCTTGCAAACGCTTGGGTTGCAAGTAGTAAAACTACGAAAGTTTGGAAGATAACGGACTGTACCGACGCCATTTTCTCGCCTTGATGCTAATCCCGCAGTGAATGCAATACTCCACTATCATTAGACATAATCCCTGGCACACCTGTCGCAATTCAGGCAGGTACTCTAACGCAATCTATACACGGGTTTATTCAAGAAAGTTTCCTTTTATGCAACTTGGCCATCAACACGCTTGGTAATATGTAATGCTAAATGACGTCATGCATTATTCCCTGCATCAACCCAGCATAAAGAAAATTAAGAGCAACTGTTTTTTTTTTTACCATTTATTCACTGATAACAATTCCCCACCTAAACATTAAACCCAAATTCACTCTATCATGTACTTCCACATTTTTTTTGAAATATCAATACTAATATATAATACTTTTGAAATACATTCAAATAAGTGCTAAAATTGCAAAACATGGTAAATGTGTAAATAGCAGTTAGCATGCAGATAATAATAATAATAATAATAATAACAAGAACAATGCATTCCAAAAATATATAACACCTGTGTACCCAACAAATGCCAACTGAATCTTATCAAAATCTTTACAAATAATGCCTTTTGTTACAGGATATATATATATATATATATNTAATACTTTTGAAATACATTCAAATAAGTGCTAAAATTGCAAAACATGGTAAATGTGTAAATAGCAGTTAGCATGCAGATAATAATAATAATAATAATAATAACAAGAACAATGCATTCCAAAAATATATAACACCTGTGTACCCAACAAATGCCAACTGAATCTTATCAAAATCTTTACAAATAATGCCTTTTGTTACAGGATATATATATATATATATATATATATATATATATATATATATATATATATATATATATATATATATATATATCACTGCTACTCTAAAGCCTACATCTCCTTCCTGAACCCTCTCCTACAGTGACTAATAATATCACACCATATATACTACTGCAACAGTACTGGGATAGATCATAAATTATGTGGAGTCCTATAAAAAAATTGTGCACCAAATTTTGATATTGTAGCCTATTGACTTAATAATTTAAACAAGACTTTATCATCAAACAATCAAAAAATTGCTTGTCAGGTTAATTGATCATTATAAATGTTGAAATATAATATATCAAACCACTTTTCTGTAAAGTATAATGGATATAGCATTTTATACTTAGCCATGTACATATGAACATAAAGTTAACATCAACATATAAACACTGCTCCATTTAAAAAGAAATGCAGTTTACTCTCCTTGCTACAAACCCATTGTTATGTCTGCAGCTGCCACAAGGGCCTACATGTGCAAAAATTTCGTCAACATCTTTCATATCTATTTTTCTCTTTCATTACTTTTATATTCTTGCCTTATACATAAAAAAACATGCATGAGACTGAAGGTGTAGAACAACAAAAAAATATTAAAAACAGTTTGTTGAAAAAACTGCATAATCTCAATACCACAGAGAAAATACATTGCATTTATATGTGAAATAGAACAATAAGTAGAATTTGGGAATAGCAGTTTTGCCTCAGTCGAATAATTTTTTTTTTCATTAAATCAGTGAATAATAAATCTATTCTGCTAATTCTTCTTTTCTTAAGAAAAGGCATGTGACATTATGACCTTGACAAATATCTTATATTTCTATTCATCATTAAGTTGTCAGTGCAGTGTGAAGCTAAAAGTGTTTTTTTTTTTTTTTTAAATCAAAGTTTACAAGGATTTATCTAACAATCTCAACAACCATACATCCGCGTAATTAATAGTGTTTAATTTTAGGATCCTTAACAGAATCCTCCATCAACATGCCATAGTTTTCTTCATTAATCTCCACAAATTTTTTCTCCATTTTGCTGAAGATATAGACATTTCCAGAGTGTATATCAAACCACAGAGCATGGAGTCTGACCTTTCCCGTCTGAAGCTTCTCCTTCAAGAATGGGTAGCTGGCAATGTTCTGTAGCTGGTTTAATGTGTTGATCTGCAACATAAAAATGACAATTCCTATAAATAAATAAATAAATAAATAAATAAACTTACACAAATCCATTAATTTATGAATACATATAAATAATATGAATATGATAATAATAATTATAATATATAATTAGTTAAATATCTAAATATTCAATCAAACAAATGAATAAGACATAAATAAATCAGAATGAGTAAGGTAGAATCACTGTGAAATAAAAAGTCATCTAAATTTCATTATGTGTGAGGTTGGGATTGCTGAAGATGTAATAACTGGTAACTGAACAGAAAATTTCTTGTGGAGCTGACATCTATTTTGGTTTAGTAAAAACATGCACAAATCTATTTTGGTTTAGTAAAAACATGCACAAATAATCAAACAATGAATTTTTTCAGAATGAAATGCAAATATGTATCATCATTCAACTTTAATATCAGCAAAATATAATTAAATGAATAAATGAAAATAAATAAAAATATTAACTTTTTTTCAAAATTAGCTTTGCTCTGAAACATGACATCTTAATTAATAACAAACCTGAGAAAATTTATCTACAATCCCAAAATTATTCTCGGGATCTATGAGTGCCTCTATGTTGTGCCTGGGTGTCTCTGCCTGGAAGGTGATGGGTTCTCTCCCCTTCATCTTCTCCCATTGTTCAAACTTTTGTACAGAGGAAGAGCCATGTCGCCTCAGCCAAAGCTGTAAGGCATCTCCATCATGGTGGTCTAGCTCATTCCTCATGGAGTATAAGAGATTCATGGCCTGTGGACACAATGCAACAGGATGAATTGATAATATAGAGCTGATCAAACTAAACTTATTTGACATAAAACATTGGTTTCATTTCACATCTATTAAATTAAATACGTGTATGTTTGACTTGTGCTTTAACAGGTAGCATATATGGCCTACCTTACAATCGGAGTGTCCACAAACCACCACGTGCCTTATATCACCCATCTGGCACCCCAGAACCAGAGCCCCCGGTTCCGTGGTAGCGTTGTGCCAGCCTAAGCCTTTACTGTGGGGTACGAGGTTCCCCGCATTGCGAACCAAATACACGTCACCTACATCTGTCTGGCAGAAGCGTGTGGGAAGCACGCGGGCGTCCATGCAGGAGAAGACCACAGCAGTGGGCTGTAATAGGAGAGTGAGATACTTTGGAGAATATACAGTCTGACAGATACAGCTAAACAGTGAAGATTCTGCATTATGTTTAACTCTTTGGAGCTAGAAATTTTGTTTGAATAATTAAAAGTATGCTGAAATGAATATATATATACTGTACAATATGCTACATGCATAATTAAAATTATAATTTGTTGAGAAAATAAAATAACTGATAAATTTTTCTTTTAAAACTAGATCAGGCTACAATATAACTTCATGACTGCATGTGAACCCACATATGGGTGTGATTCATATATCATATCATAGAAGTAGCGAAATTATATGATCATACTTTGCAAGTGCACTGAAAGCATATATAATATATATTGTCATTGGGCTCTTTCCTTTAGACTTCATCAATTAATGTTGTTTCATTAAATTTTCAGATCAACCATGCATAGAATTACATGAAATGAAAGACTGCTTGACCCAACAACAACCACAATATGTTTATGAATACATGTTCAATGTCATTTGGACACGCAACAAACACATTGGGGTCATCATAAATAATATGAATGACCGCAAATAAAACCCAACCTGCGGATTAACCGTAACTTCTTTCAGTTTTTGGGTCATTTCATCCTTAATTGTGCTCCTGTATTTGAGGACGCCCTTTAGCAGTTTGTCGATCCCCGGCATCCTGAATGAGACTGCTGCTTCAAAAAGTTCAGCGTCGGTAGTTTCTTCAGCTCTCCATGTGCAACTTTACAAGGTCAAGCTGTTCTTTTTTTTCGAATGATCTAAGCGGCCTAGTAAACAATCACTACGTACTACTCTCTACGCCAGGGTTCAGTGCCTCAAAAAGGTGATTGTGATCGATTTATATACGAATAATATACACAAATGATAAGTGACGTGCTTGATTACCCTTAAAGCGCCGACGAGGTCTCGCACACTAGCTATAAAGCACTAGTTCTCGAGCACTAGCGCGCTTGAAGAAGCGACCCGCTGACTTCACAGCCGAAGAAGTTACAACAGCACTCGGCTACTGTTTACGTCTGGCTCCCCAAATCAGCTGTCCATCATTGGGATTTCCTGTCGCCAAGGTCAGTGATAAGTATCTGTATAAGATTTAAAATATTTTGTTTCTTGGTTGTAGCAATGGCAGAACGAGCTTTCGACCTAATACTTTTGATGGGGGAAGAGTAAATCTTATTCTATTAACACTAATAAGTTGCAGTGTTTCATATATCCACAGACATCCTTCCGTCATGGTTTTTGAAGTATTTTGTTATCATGTATACCGTACGTTGCCAGCAAGTTTGAATTAGGGATAGTGAGTGTATTTATTGTTTTATTTAGGAATTATGTGTTGATCTTGGTTCCAGTTTTGTATTATGAGGATCTGTTTTTAAGGACGTACGTGACGGCTTAAAATGGTGATACAAAAGGTCACCATGACCTTTCGTGTAATTTCATGCTTATTTCTTCTTTTTCAAGGCACAAGAAAGAAAATCAGACTTACAATTACGTCGAGTAAAAACTGCAAGCCAAGATTGACTTGAAGTCCATGTTACAAGGATACTGTGGTAATCATGTTGTCACTTTTAAGCATCCTCATTGATCCAAGGACGTTTTGGACCTTGGCAATTCTGTTTGTGCTGTGGTTATTTAATAACTGGGTGTCGAGGAAGAAGTACAAGTTGCCCCCAGGGCCTACACCCTTCCCTCTGATTGGAAATTATCTAGGTAAATTTCATTATTAATATTTTATGTTTCAGTGAATTAATAATACCGGTACTAGTATGGTACTGTACTTAATTTTTTCTTATTTTAATAAGTTTTAATTATATATTTTTATTTTATTTTTTCTTATTTATTTGTCTTTAAAGACAAATTGTCAACTGACAAATTTTCATTATATGTTGAATAGATTTAAGGAAACACCCTTACACTTACCAGTTGTTGGCAGAGTGGTCCAAACAATATGGAGACATCATTTATGTTGAGATAGGTACAGTATGGGTTTTCTTCTATTCAAGGGAGAGCTAAATGATTTAATATGTACTTAAAATATTTTAATTTAGCGGATTAAAGAAAAGCCAGCATCACCATCATCATCATTATTGTGATTACAATTGCTATTATGTTTTGGCCCCCATGAAAATTTGAATGTTTGAAAAGCCAATTTTATTATACATTTTATTTTAAAGTAAGATTGAGAAAAGTTGTAGTATTGACAGAATATTATAATTAATATGTTAATATATATTTATTGGATGCAGGTCCTATGAAGTGTGTTGCATTAAATAGCTTCCCAGCCATACAAGAAGCTTATGTAAAACAGAAAGATATCTTTGCTGGGAGACCACAGGTGTACTCGGGTATGTTTTGGACCTGAGGGGGCGTTCAGACAAACTCATCATACTAGTTGGATTTTCACTTAAGAGCAGTCAACGTTAGCAGCTTTATTGTTTGACATACCTGTTCGACCATCAAGGGGACAATTGACTATGGTGCAAGTTAGGCTCTCAGAAGCTATTTTATTCGAGGGGGGTGTGTCAGACAATTAAGCTGATTTTACTGAATGCACTTTAGTGAGAATATATGGTTTTTAGTACATGGAAATGCCATGTTTCTGAATGTTTCTACCTCATCCAGTGAAACAGAATGAAGAATGAGAATACTTTTGTTACATGTACTAGTAAATATATTGAATTACAGAAAACTTTCAGTTCCACCTCCATCTTGAATGAATGCAGCCAGAAACATCTTGATTTCTGACTGACTGAACTTTTCAAAAGTGAAAAAAAAATCATATGATAAAGATTTAAGTAAAAATGCATATGATTTTATTAGAATTATGCCCTCACCCCTTCAATCCTGTGACTGTCACATGCAAGCATTCCAGGGCACATAAATGTCATTGGTCTAAGAAAATCATTAAACAATTTTGTCATACATTTTATTTCAAGGTGAAGTGTTTTCTGATGGTGGCAAGAATATTTTGTTTGGGCAACCAGGCCCAACTTGGAATCTTCACCGTAAACTTGCGCTGAAAGCCATCAAGTAAGTCAGTTATTACACTACAGAATTCTGTCTTTCATCTCCCCTTTTAATTCAGCTTTTTGAGAGAGAGAGATAGAGAGAGAGAGAGAGATTTCATAATTGATACATTAATTATCAGGTGCTCCATTTCTTTACCAGATATATACAAGTATAAATGTTTGAGCCCAGGGTCCGTCTGTATATGTAGTTGAGTATATAGAATAACAAGTAGACTGTGCCATAAATCACTACGAATTCTCGCTGTAGAAATACATTTGCACATACATCTGATGAGTGACGATTGACTGAAGAATGATGAAGAATGACACCCAGAAGAAATGGCACAGGGAATTCATATCTCCCATTCATGACAGAAAAAGCTGGAATATGTGACCCAGTAATGTGACATCTTTTCAACGTGTTACATAAAAAAAATTAAATTAGTGAACCCTGCTTTATTGATTCAACACGTTAATGTTCTGTTTCTATATTATAGGAATTATGCCTCTGGTGATAAACTGGAGGACCTTGTCCACACTGCTGTTGGGAGAATTGACAGTGTGCTGGAATCTGGTCCTATGGACCCCACACATATGATTGGGCTGGTGATGTTCAACATCATTAATGGGATTGTTTTTGGAAAGAGGTCAGTTAATTAATCTATTAATTTATTTATTATCACACAAGTATTTATTAAATTTGTTTATTTACTAATATATGGGAAGGGTAAGATACTTGTCATATGAGTAATCAAGTAATGTCAACAGATTTATGTAATCAACTCATTAATTAACTTAAAACAGATTTAAGTGTGTGTGGTACAATATATTCTGGTTACAGGACTGATACTAAAATGTATAATCTAAAATTTTAACTTGACCATGTGTTTTGAATGAAAAGTGAGTGTTAAGCTACACCATTTGATTTTAGAAACCATAGCTAAATATTTTTCATCACTTAACAGATTCCATATTTTTCAATCATTTCAGTTACGAGTATGACGACCCGGAATTTAAGTATCAGATGCAGATGATAGATGAACTGCTGAGTTTGAATGTCAGTGGAGTTTGGTCCGACTACGTCCCGTTTCTCCAGTACCTGCCAGATTTCTTCAGTTCTCCCCACACAAGAAAGTCAATGAACTTGACCAGGAAGTGGATGGGCTTTAATTACACCCAGTTCAAGAAGCACCAGGAAGAGTTCAACCCTGGTAAAGAATTTAAAGAGAAACTACAGGGTGGTCCAAAAAGAATTTAAATAAAAAGTACAGGATGGTCCAAAAATGTTTCCAAATTTGATACAGTAACATTTTCTATCAAAATGAAAACTTAACCAATTTTTTTTTCATATACCTGTCATATAAGTTTTTCAGACGAGTAAGTTTTGTGTTGTGTAAGGTTTTTCCTTGTATACCATGATTTTTTGAGCCCAGATGATTTTTTTAGATTATAATGTGCTTGATTGTTGCTCCTTTGCACTGAATAATTGTGGCTATTCCTGGGGTACAGCTAGCATGGCCAATTTAGCAAAATGCTAAAACTGCCTCAAATTGGCGAAAGAAAAAGGGCTTGATTTGACATGTTTTAGCCAAATTATAACCATTGGTAACAAATTGACAAAAATGTGGTGATTTAATTGGCTAAGCGAAAAAAATTGCTAGCGCTACCCCAGTATTCGCACACCGAAATTTGTGATGATATGAGGATAATACTTTATTAAGAACAACACAACCATAAGAGAGTATATACCTACCTTGCTGAATGTAAAAGATTATTTCAGCATCAAATTATTTTTACCATCGTTGAATCTAGTGAAGATATTAGTTCTCAAACTTCTGTTACCTGTGTGAGTAATGCAGTTTTATAAAGCATTTCATATTTCTGTAAGTTCAGATCTGTCACTTGCACGTACTTCATACAGTATTCTAAACATTTTTGGCCTAAGTATAAGCTCAGTCTCCCTATTAAATCTGACTTTGAAAATTAGTTTGCTTCTCTCTTCAGACAATGTGCGTGACTTGACGGATGAGTTGCTTTTCACAAAGAAACAAGCAGAAGATGAAGAGGACGAAAAGGTTCTTGGCTCACTGACAAATAGCCACATGGCCCAAACTGGACTAGATGTTTACACAGGTGATTTTACCTGCCTGTATGCAGGACTGTTAAGGTGGCAGTGGCCACTGCTTCCTCACAGGTGCATGCTGAATATTCACTGGGTGTTGAAGTCTCTTTATTTGTTTGAAAACAAATTCCTCCCAGAACAGAATCAGTGAAATATATGTGAATGACTCTATGACCCTGTTAGAGGGTACATGTAGGAGAGAAATACAAGACTGCATACTGTATATGTACTGTATCTGTGTGATTTGGATGACTGACAATCACATTACTGCCCTCCTTTTTTTCTTGGAGTTGGGGTTGGGGGGGGGACCTTAAAGTGAAACATGAAGGCAAGCTACTTGATTACATGTAAAGTTTTTTTTTCACCTATTTCAGCTGGTCTGGAGACCTCTATGTACACCCTGTTATGGACATTTTTGTACATGGCCACCAAACCTGAGTGCCAAGACAAGCTTCAAGAGGAAATAGACAGAGTTGTTGGTAGGATTTGGTATTTTTGAAAATAAATTAGTAGAAAGTATGAATATTAACGATGGAAAGTGTTTGCATAACATGGAAAAATAGCTTGCATTATGTCACCTTTGATAGTGGATCCCAATAGTGTACCAATTGTGGTTAGTATTATGATTTTCTCTGGTCTTAGACAAAATATTGCACGGCAGCATTAATTTTAATGAGCAGGGAAGTGTGTTAGACTTGCTCTTCTCCATGAATTACATGTCTCACAGAATTTGGTGCCAGGGCAGGTATTATAAAATGGACTTGTGTTTCCTAATGCAGGTAGAGACAGAAAACCCACGCTGCAGGATGGCAAGAGTCTGCTGTACTGCGAGGCGGTATTTGACGAGGTGCTCAGACTGGCCACAGTGGCTCCTCTTGGCTTGCCGCGAGTCACCACCAGTGATACTGTGTTAAGTGAGTGGAAATGTCTTACACCCCATTTCCATAGATTAGATCGACCTATTTTAGATCGACCTAACTCCCTGGGGGTTCACGCTAAATAGCTGTCAGCCGGGCGGACACGAAAGTTAATTACCCCTTACAGCTTGTAGTAGGCAGGGACAGACACTTAAGGGGGATTATCTGACAGTAATCTAGTGAGACTCCCCGCGGTGATAGATCGATCTAATGTTGTGGGAATAGAGCCTTAAATTTAGATTTCTAAAATTTCATCATTTTCTAAGTCAAGTGAATGAAGAAAATTTAAGAAACTGTTGTTATTTAAAATAAAGATTAACCAGTATATATAATTTTTTTCATGGAGATTTTGAAGCTACCAGTATCTTGATGTCTGTCAGTCATATCGTATCTGGCCTGTCACTCTTAGCAACCCTCTAAAAGTCATATTTTTAAGAATTTGAACTTCATAATTAAAATCAGATAATCTACTATAAAGTTAAAACTTAAGCAACTAATCCACATCTTTCTTTTACATGTCCTTTGTTTACTTCAGTGGATATACTTAAAAGAGGGTATTAGATTTGTATTTTATTAATAATATTAATAATATTTTCTGAATCTGGTGGCTGTGATCTCCAGCTGTGGTTTATATGACCTAACAATTGGGAAGACCCATGTATATATATGATTGGAAAGTAATATAAAATCATGATAACGAAACTGAAAATCTTTAAAAATAATAATAAGATAACAAACTAGGATGGTTATGATATTTCAGATGGCTATGAAATTCCCAAAGGAATGACAATTATCACCAATCTCTGGGCCATGCACCATGATCCCAAGTATTGGGAGGAACCAATGGAGTTTAAACCCGAACGCTGGCTGGACGAGGTCACGGGACAGCGTGTTGGCAGGACAAGGGACAGCTACATGCCATTCTCTTCAGGTGAGAATATTTCCCTTAATTGTGATCTTATGTGTGTCCTGAGCCTCGGTTACACTCCCTTTGGGACCACTTAGATTGCATTCACAACAGCAAATTAACTAGACTGCAGACTAGTAATGGTTGACCCATTTGAATGCTTGTTGTGTAATCCCCGCGGGGAATCTACTCAGTGTATTAGGAGATTAGATGGCAAGCTTTTAAGTGGGTTGCAATATTTCATCCGCAGACTAGTTCGTCCGCCGTTGTGAATGCGTCCTTGGAGAGTGAATGTTTATCAACTCTAACTTGCCCCTTCAAAGTTGGAACTTTGACAGCATTTGATAGCATGAAATTCATATATTAGTGTTAATGAACTTTTAATATTGAAGCCTTTTCCTTTCATATTTGCATTAGTACACCAAAAATATTTCTACAGGCGGTTGCAAATCTGTTGTAAAAGCAGCTTCAGTGTATTAAGTTCAAGTAACATGATCTCGAAAAGCAGAATTGACACTAAGTCTACAAAAATGTGTAACTGTAAATTAACAAGTTGTTTTTTATTCAACACACCCAAAACCTTCATGATTGGTAGCTTTGTTTTTTCTTAGAATAATTAAAGGGTATCATAAATTCTGATTCATAAATTGTAATCAGTATATGATTCATTATTTCAGGGCGTCGTTTCTGTGTTGGCAAGACCTTGGCGAGGCGGGAGATCAACCTGACCATAGCTACCTTCTTCCAGAAGTATCGTGTTTCACCACCAGAGGGAGTTACTTTGGACATGGCCGCCAAAGAACAACCGTTGACATGTTTTCCAAAACCATACAAGATAGTCATTCAAAAAAGAGGATAATTCTGACATCCTTGATCAATCTGATTAAAGTTAATTGATGATGCGAAAAAAATAAACACGAGACTAAATTGGTTAGAAATGAGGCAGCCCCCCACCTTTTTTTTTTTTTTGTGAAATAAGAGGATTATATTCAACTGATAAAGGTGGAAATATAAGTGGATTGTGTTTAACCAATAGTTTTTTGGCATGTTGTATTATAATCATGATAATGTTAATCCAGCAACTATTTGCTCACTATTTTTGGTGAATATCTGATCTTATACACATACCCTCACTTATAGCTGTGCATCTAAGGCACTTACAGGTATATTTTCTTGATTGTTAAGGTTTCAGCTTTGATTAATATGAAGTTTATACAGTGTGTAGTAATTCACTATGTGGTATGGGAAGACTTAAGACTTGGCATTAAAAGAAAAGTCACATGTGAGTTTGTGTCAAGCCCAGTTCAGTAGATGGATACATCAAGATATATGTACTTGCCACCCTAATATATATGTAATATAAAATTAGATTAAGGCAGAGATTCTGTGCCTCTTGGAGTAGGCAGAGACAGCATGTCGTGAAAAACTAGTGATAATAATAGCTTCTTGCCATATAAAATATATTTTTCTTTTACATTTAACTTACTTTAATATTTACTTTTAAAGGGAACAATTTTTTAATGAACACATTCTAATGCTTTTAACTTTTATTGTTTAATACTCCATTTTAATTTTACTCTTGAGATGGTAGATTAATCCATTACGTTTTTCATATGTACATTTGGATTGGTTGAATAAATATTAATATTTGAGATTTTAAGTGCTGTGGTTAGAAAATTTCCCATCGTGACAGTTTCTGAATTTTAGTCCAAGTATAGGTGGGATTCCCATGAAACTATAATGAAGTAAGTTCAACTTCTTGATCAAAAGTAAAATTTAAACCAAAACATGTTGGAGGCGTCAAGCTTCATAAAAATTGACATACAACGATTAACCAATCTAGTTCTGTATGATATTTGTCTAGATGCATATTCCTATATGCTATATAATGTACAAGGTTGTTCTTTGTAGTGAAATTTTTTCTTCACAAATTGGAGGCTTTTTTCATTGGATTGACATCATATTAAGCATTCAAGAAGACGGAACAAACGAAACAATCTGATGAACTTCAAATGCCATCTTTATAAGCACCTTGCTTTGTTACCCATCAGTTACTGTAAAAACACCGAAGGCTTGAAATAATAACTGTTCAGAATTTTATAAAGCTTTTAAAAAAAAAGCACCAAAAGCCTTTATTAATTTTCACGATAGAATAAATTTCCCACGACGCACCTCATTTGCCCCTACGTGTAAAAAAAAGAATAAACAGGCCATCCTTATAAACACCTTCCATTATTATAGATCTATCAGTCACAGTAAAAGCACTGAGAAAGACTTTACATAATGACTGCTCAAAAATTTATACAGCTTAAAGAATACCTATAACTGTGATAAGATTGCTATAAATAATAACTGTTATAAATTGATAAGAAAAAAAAAAAAAAAAAAAAAAAACCCGAGCAAATAAACAATCAGCATAAAACTGCCAACCCAACTACCATGATGTGCATAATGTGTCCCTGTGCATTCAGAGATGAACGAGGCCAATTTTGTTGGGTATTTCATATAATTTGACTCCTTATAAATGCTATGTTCACAAGCACCTTTTTCTCTCATCTTTTAACTTTATACAGGTTCTGTTTTAATGTCATGTTTTAAAAACATCAACCTTTCTCGAGACATGTCATCCCGACTGTCACAGTTAGTTAAGAGCTTTCTACTGTTCTCGACAAAATCCTCGAAATTGCAATTTTCAGGAGCATCTTCTATATTTGGGTTATAGGAAAGTGTTTCTGATACATCTGGTAACCCAGATGTTGGTACAAACATCTGATGCTCATTTTCAAAATGGGTTTCCTCTTTTACAGTAGCTTCTGAGAATGGTTGATCTGTTGTATTTTCTGTTTTAATAAATTTGCTGTGCAATTCCTCAAGATTATCTATCACATCCCATTCATTTGTTGTGTTTTTGCCATTACCAAGTGCACAAAAGTTTAACTTTTCTTCTTGTTCCTCCACAGAGGTCGATTTACTGGGAGTGCTTTGACTTTGACCACTTTCTTTTGTCAAAGTATCCTCCAATACAGATCCTCCAGTAATATTTTTTTCACATTTTCTACTATTTCCCTTCCGTTTTGCCCTCGTTCTAGGTCCCCTTGTGGTCTTTTTGTTAACTATATGACCTCTTTGCTTCAGTTTCCCCTTGGCTACTTTCCCATCTGTTTTCTTTTTTTGTTTGCTGGGTGATGTTTTCCGCCTCTCTTTGGAATGGCTTTTTTCATGTTTTACCAAAAGGGTCTTGGTGGAAAAGGTCTCAACGCAATTCTGACACTTGTAGACGTCTCTCTTAGTGCGAGTCTTTACACATTTCACAGATTTCTCTTGTTTTGAAAATGTCTTGCTACTTTTTGTGCTCTTCTTTGTGCCTTCCCCAATGTGGATCTTCTTATGATTTAATAACTCAACGCGGCTATGGAATGTCATGTCGCATGACTGACATTTTAATTGTTTAACAGGCGCACGGTTATTTTTGGTTTCTTTTTCAGCTTTTTCAGCTTTTGGCTTTTTTGCTTTGTGATTCCTTTCATGGGTTAAACAGTGATTTTTACGATTGAACGTTTTATCGCAGATTTGACATTTGTATGGTTTTTCTCCAGTGTGAGTTCTTTCATGGATTACACACTCATCTTTACGGGTGAATGCTGCCTCACAAAACTGACATTTATGTGGCTTTTCCCCAGTGTGAATCCGCTCGTGTTTCATACAAGTGTATTTCCTTGAAAACGTCTTCTCACAGTGCTGGCATTTATATGGCTTCTCACCTGTGTGAATCCTTTCATGCTCGATGCATTTAGCATTCTTATAAAATGCCTTGTCACAGTACTGACATTTGAATTTAAAATCCTTGACTGCGGCCCGAGTCATTTCACCAATCGAGTAGCCAGTGTGTTTCCTTTCATGGTTCCGTAATGATGCCTTGAAAGAAAAGGCCTTGTCACAGTACTGGCATTGGTATGGCTTCTCTCCAGTGTGAGCTCTTTCATGTTCTGCGCAAAGGAAATTCTCCGTAAATGTCCTCTCGCACAGCTGACATTTGTAAGGCCTTTCACCAGTGTGAGTCTTTTCATGCAAATCGCAGTGGCCTTTGGTAGAGAAGCTCTTTTCACAGTACCGGCATTTGTATGGTTTTTCTCCAGTATGGACCCTTTCATGAATGACACATTTATCATGACTATGAAACAACTTGTCACAGTATTGACATTTGAATCTTTTAGGTGCAGTATGAATTCTCACATGCTTTTTGTATTTACTTTGAACAGCAAATGTTTTTCCACAATGCTGGCATTTGTGCGGTCTCTCACCAGTGTGAATTCGTTCATGTTCAATGCAACTTAGTTCACTTCTAAATCTCGCATCACAGTGCTGACACTGAAACGGCCTGTTTTCAGGGTGAATCTTTTCATGCAAAAGGACGTCACGTTTCTGAGCAAACACCTCATCACAGTACTGACACTCGTATATACCCGTGTGAAAACTTTCGTGGATTAACCGTTCCTCCCGCCGCGAAAACATTTCTCCACAGTACTGACATTTATGCTGTTTTTCTCCTGTGTGAATTTTTTCATGTGTTGCACAATGGGCTTTCTGGGAAAACGCCTTTCCACAGTATTCACACGCATAAGGCTTCTCCCCAGTGTGAGTTTTTTCATGGCGTTTACAAGCATCTTTCTTAACGAAAGCCTTGCCACAGTATTGACATTGATATGGTCTCTCTCCAGTGTGAGTTCTTTCGTGGAAAACCAATGACTGTTTACGAGAAAACGAAGAATAACAGTACTGACAAAAGTACAATTTTTCTCCAGAGACGTGCGTTTTTTCATGCTCTACACATTCATCCTTTTCTGGAAACACTTGACCACAGAACAAACATTGGTACGGTTTCTCCTCGAAATGAATTTTTTCATGCTGCGTTCTGTCATCCTTTTGTGAAAACCCAATGCTGCAAAAGTGACATTTGTATGGTTTTTCTGCTGTGATGGAGGTCTCATCTTCTACACAGGGAATTTTCAGAGACATCTTATCACTGTCCCCCATACCACTTTCTTCCCTCATACTAATTGGCACAATTCACCTGTAAAACAAATATGGAATTCTAGGCACCTCTGTGATTTGTCTGCACCATTTTTACTCTTACAGTAGCACAACGAAGGAATGTAAACATGTAATATTATTTTAACCAGTTGAAAATTACATTTACTCCCAATATATATCTGTTCTGACCCTAGCTATGGGGGCAGGCCCGTAGCCAGCAATTTCAAAAGAGGGGTTCTTTTTTCTGAAAAAGTGGACCTTCATGTACATAGAACAAATTTTACCCAGAGTGGACCTTTCCCCAGCAAAGGGGGTGGTTCTCTCGAAACCCCACGAACCCCCCTGGCTACGGGCCTGGGGGCCCAGCTAGAATGGGAGCCCCGGCTGCCCACAGGAGCCCAGGCTGCCAGAGAGACTGCCAGGGAGACTGTCCTTTTGCAGTCTGGGGCTCCAGTGTGCAGTCTCCTTGAGCAGGCAGACTGCAAAGGGGGCTGCAATAACTTANCTGCAAAGGGGACTACTTTTCTAGCTGGGGGGGTGTATACTTGCCTTACATATAACAGTTTTACTTCAGCATGAGGCACTGGGCTCATTTCCAATGAAACTATTGCTTTACATAGATCAATCCAACTCTGCAGGGACTCTTGCTGAAACAATCGGACTGACATATTACCCTCTTGATGTTAGGCAGAATACAGAAATGCTGGTAATTATAACAAAAATTTAGTTTAAGAAATTAAATGTTCAGACACGTACGTACTGGTAACTAACCCCCACTAATTTCCTCACGTTCACTTGTCATATTTTTTTCTATTTGACAAGTTATAAATAGGTTATAAACAGCAGGGCTGTAGGTTATGGGGGGGGGGGGGGGGGAGTGCACAGATTTTTTAAAAATAACTCTTGGGGAAGCTACATGTACCGTATATGTAGCATTTTCTTTGACCCTGGTATATATAGCTCTTATTTTTTCTTTAGTCAGTTTCAAAATGAGAGCCACAGACGAAAGGGCCATAAGTCATGAACTAAACTTGGAATATGGGGGCCTTATATCAGTAAGTATGCAACAGTACATGTAGTGGTTATGCCATTTTTTTCCTCCAAGGCATATTCTTCGAAATACAAACCAAGACCAAAACGAAAAAAAGACAATATCGTCATTTGAAGAATACATCTTTTGTTGAAATTGCCACCATCACCTACCCAGTTCACAAATGTCCTCTATATCTTCACACTAATCTAGCAATTGAGTAAATGTACTCTGGCCATGCAATGAATGAACAAAACAAATTAAGGGCGACAACGAGAAAAAGGTACTTCGATCCATTCAGCGGTAAAGTCGTCCCAAGCTAAATGCGTGCCGCTATATGTCATATTAAGCCAGAAATTAGGTGCCATCTCAGGCTAGAGAGTTTTCACGCAAATATACGTCTTTCATTGGATATCTGCATTATTACCTTTTATATTGTTGATAGACTGGATGGAATCGTTATATCTGAAGGACTTCAAAAAGTCTATGGTTATTTCATTAAAGGTTTGGTCCTTAATTATTATATGATATAAGGTTACTGTGAGATTTTCTGGATTAAAGTTACCAAAGTTTACACTAAGTGTCATTTAAGCAAAGAAAAACTGAAAATGAATAAACGATTAAATAAATAAATAAATAAATAAATAAATAAATAAATAAATAAATAAATAAACGATCATCTTAAAGTAACATGTGCGTTAACCCGTGATGTAACAACGAGGAGGCATATGGGACTAATACAGATAAAAAGAGAAAGTCACACAAAAATTTGAAGAACGAAGAGGTTTCGATAGATAAAAGTGTTTTATTTCTTGCCTGCAATTATGCCATCTTTTTAAAAATGCATGAGGCAAAAATGAAAAATGCTAATGAGAATATGGTAATAGACTAGATGTCTTGTGGAATCTTGATTGTATCGGTAGCATTCGTAAAGCACATCTAACACATTTGTCGTGTTATGTATTGCCTTTTCTACGTTTTTACTTATTACAAATAAATATGCACAAAATTATTCCCGGTGATTTCAGTTGAAATGTTTTTATAATTTCAATCTTTCTATAATACATGAAGCTGATAGTGTTACAAAGAAATTATTAGGATTCCCCATAGGGGAATACTATTGTTTTTGGTATTATTATTATTATTATTATTATTATTATTATTATTATTATTATTATTATTATAGTTATTCTTTCCGCGTGTTTTTTTTCGCAAAAAATCTGAAATAATTATCATAGGTAGCCTATGGTAAGAATATGCCACAGACCCAGTTTCAGTGACCTTGACCTACTTTTCAAGGTCACAGAGGCTTTTAAAGGCAAAATTTGTAAAATTTGAAATTGACATTACGCCTTAAGTATAAGCCGTATGGCTATGGGCCTTATGGTCAGTGATACTGAGGTGAATCCACATATAATGACCTACTTTTATGCAAGTAGGTCAAGGTCAAGGTCGCTAATGGCCAAACGGGCTCAAAAAAGGTTTGTTTCCAAGATCTCAAAAACGGAAGTCCCAGAGCCCCGATCATAGTGTCAAATAATGCCCTATATATTTATCTAAGGTTAGCTGTACTTTGGTAGCGACTGCTTAATTACTTTTTTTAATATAGATTTTTAAATATTTATGACATTGCAGAAATCTTGAGTTTGGCAGTTTCTCCATGAAACACTGGTTTTTGGTCATAGCATGCTATAGTAAACTACCCCAAACATATACCCAAAACCCCCAAATCAAATGTCAAATTTGACCTTGACCCTCATTTTCAAGGTCATTTGGCTATTTAATGGAGAAATATTGAAGTGGGCTAAAATTGATGTTTTGTTGACACCCCCCCCCCCCAATTCACACATGCTTTTTCAGAATATGGGATCAAATTTAACCCTTTACCTTCCCATGACCTTGTAAGAGCATTTCCACGCCTATTTTGCAGGGGAATCCTCCGCCACTGGCTTTAGCCAGTTGCAGTCTAGTTAGGATTCCCCATAGGGGAATACTATTGTTTTTGGTCTTATTAGGATTCCCCATAGGGGAATACTATTGTTTTTGGTAGTATTATAGTTTTTATTATTATTATTCTTTCTGCGCGTTTTTTTTCGCAAAAAATCTGAAATAATTATCATAGGTAGCCCGAGGCAAGAATATGCCCAGACCCAGTTTCAGTGACCTTGACCTACTTTTCAAGGTCACAGGGTCTTTTAAAGGCAAATTTTATGAAATTTGAAATTGCCATTAGGCCTAAAGTATAAGCCATATGGCTAAGGGCCTTATGGTCAATAATACTGAGACAAATCCACAGATAATGACCTACTTTTATGCAAGTAGGTCAAGGTCAAGGTCGCTAATGGCCAAACGGGCTCAAAAAAGGTTTGTTTCCGAGATCTTAAAAACTGGAAGGCCCAGAGCCCTAATCATAGTGGCAAATAATGCCCTATATATTTATCTAAGGTTAGCCGTACTTTGGTACCGACTGCCTAATTACTTTTTTTAATATAGATTTTTAAATATTTATGACATTGCAGAAATCTTGAGTTTGGCAGTTTCTCCATGAAACACTGGTTTTTGGTCATAGCATGCTATAGTAAACTACCCCAAACATATACCCAAAACCCCCAAATCAAAAGTCAAATTTGACCTTGACCCTCATTTTCAAGGTCATTTGGCTATTTCATGGAGAAATATTGCAATGGGCTAGAGTAATGTTTTCTTGACCCCCTCCCCCCCCCCCAATTCGCACATGCTCTTTCAGAATATTGGGTCAAATTTAACCCATTACCTTCACATGACCTTGTAAGAGCATTTCCACACCTATTTTGCAGGGGAATCCTCCGCCACTGGCTTCAGCCAGTTGCAGTCTAGTTATTATTATTATTATTATTATTATTATTATTATTATTATTATTATTATTATTATTATTATTACTACTGTAAACATTTACCTACCGTTAAGCCTTCGTGACTGAAATATGTGTTCATCGTTCATATAGGTTTTCCCGCGGGATGATGTCCAGTGAAAATAAAACAACTTTTATGTTTCATTCAACCTTTTCACCTTACAAAACTGTTATTTTAGTAGGCATTGTATAAGTACAGTGTATGGCAGATGACACTGTAAGTACTAAAGGCTGGGTCGTTATTTTAACACTGTCATGATCATGGATTTATTAACACTTTAGGCGTAGGGCGTCATTATCATCCCTTTTCCAAGAATTGCAGGCTCAAATTGTTATGAAAATGAACCATTCTTATATGTAAAACTCGCATGTTATGCTTAATCATTTTTTATCTAGTAATATTTTCCTTCTTGTTTTATCTGTAATTATCTAAAACAATTTTACTTTCTCTGTTTACTTATTGGTATTTCATGTTGCTAAACACGAGGCTACATACCGAACAGAAATTAATTTCCCTGATAGGGGAGACCGGGGCTAGTTGGACCCGGGAGTAAGTTGGCCCCCCATCAAGTCTCTTTAATAAAATTACTTTAAAATGCTAAATTATTTCATTTGGGCTCACTGCCGACGCTTTCTTAGCACTATTGGATACGGTCACTTTACAAAAATTAATGATGTGATCAATTCTTTTACCCCATAGTTACTTTGTCATAAATTGATGAGGGGGGGGGGGCAACTTACCCCGGGGTTCAACTAGCCCCGGTCTCCCCTAAATATTGTAAACTGCATACACAATATTCTACAATATTTCATCAAAGGCGGCAAATGGTTAAAACTTTGCTTAAAGTAGACTCAAAATTTTGGTCTAACAGTTAAGACCAATATTCTGTTCAGTCTAAAAATTCTCATGCTGCCTGGTTCTCTTTTGATCTAAGGGGCGTGTGATCGGTGATATACCCGCATTGCTGAACCTGTGATATACGCGCGTTTAGATCTGATAAGAGCGATGCGACGCGTTATCGCAACGAGGTTTTTGTATTCCTTCCTTTATCTCTGACTCAATTTCACACACAAGAAAATTTGCGGTCGCCAAACGTGCCCGTTTTGAGTCAGTAATCTCCCCCGTGGACATGACCTCAAATGATAAGAATAGGTAAGAGTGTATGCTCATGCTTTGAGACTGGGGTACTTTCTTTTTTCTTTTGGAAAATACCAAGACATTCTTGAAAATATACATAGGCCTACTATATAAATTGAGCAAATGATTTAGGCATTTACCCCCTTTTTACGATTTTCGTTACTAGTTTGGTCTCTGCAAGCTGTGGGTTGTGAAGAGAGAGAGAGAGAGAGAGAGAGAGAGAGAGAGAGAGATTTGATACTATGAAAATGAATGAATTGTGATGGACCAGAGTGAAGCATGTTTTAAATAGTACACAAAATGTTGAATAAACATAGACAGAATAAAAAAAACAAGAAATACAAAAAAAAAAATAATAATAATGTGTTTACCACTTAAAAGAGGACGTGAAATAGGAAATTGGAATCGATCGAAGGCGTATCTACTAAAAGTCTAGACCTAAGGAGCAAATTAGAATAAATAGCAACATAAACTGTAGTTTATTTGAATGCAATTTTGCTCATCCTGAGCCGGATGCACGTAGTCGTGCATAACAACTCATCATAGCGTGGCAGAGATAAAAAACATATATTCTACGACAGCTTAATTTAACGTATATTTTTACGTGATTTATCTTCACGGGAACTTGTACGGGTCATCCCATGAGGGTGATGTGGGTCATGCCGCCGGCTCGCTGTTCATAACGATACCATCTAAGTATAAGCTTTCGAATGAGTATGTACGAAGTATAAGTTGGAATCCAGTTATGCGCGCCCTTGACAAAGATAAAATATTATTGGGCGTCACCTTACCGTGGATCGTCACCTAGAAAAAAAAACTTGTTTTACGTATTTACGAATATCACCTTTTCGTATTTTGCACTAAAAAAGATAACCATATAAACCCTAAGGGCACATTTTTGTTATCAGGTACTTGTTGGATCTACCATAAAGTACGAAGGCTCCTTTAAAACTTCCTTTACACTGGACGGCGTCCTATTTGCGTTCTTTGTGCGCCCATGAAACCGGCATCGCTAGAAAGGAGGCACAAGCTCGCTTTGGTAGCTGGTGTACTGTTAAGGTTAAGAGGGCCACAGAAGCATTTTATTTTATTTAATATAACGAGTAAAGGGTTTTCTTGAGTTACCAACCTTTACCTTGGTTAGTTATTGACTGAGAGAGAGAGAGAGAGAGAGAGAGAGAGAGAGTAAAACTTATAAACTCAGGGGTAAAAACTGTAAAGGTTTGTTTCATTATTATAATAATGATGTAATAATTAAAGTTATCAAAATGACACTATTCAACACTAACACAATTATTATTTCATTTATATTGCATTTCGTATACAGATTTAGGCGTGATTTAGGGCTCTTTCTGCTATTTAATTGGCCGATGACGTAAGTAAATGTTCCTGTAACATTGAATTTGAAGCACTTTTTATCGATTTCAGTAGTTGCAGGCATTTATAGAAAACTAGTCGATCGTGACGTCATATATGAACTTCGATATGACGTCATGAATAAATCTGTATCCTAGAGTAAAAAAGGGATGGGGGTGGGGAAGGGGTAAATCAACCCCCATACAGTTGCGAGACCTCAGCTACGGTCTCACTGAATTCTAGTTTTAACAGACCCTCAATTCCTGATAAAACTTCAGTGTCTTGGGGAGCGTCATCCAGCAACTCTGTCGAGGTTATCTCTAGCGGAAATCTCGTTATGGCGCATACCCCTTCGCGATGCTATCGTTGAAGTTTAATGAACGCCTCATAAAATGCGGTAAAATGTCGTAACCTGTTTCATTCCACTCCACCGAGGAGGAGATTACCGGCAATTAGTGTCGCCATGAGTGAGGTGATAAGAATTCGGAAGTGACTCCAATGTTCTTTTTTTAAAATGAATTGATATCTTCTTATAACGGTGCCTTCATTATTATGAATAATTTCTTTTTTTTTGTCTTCATGTATTTCTTAAATTCACACATTAATGAACTGACCATTCCATTCATTCATTGATTCATTCATTCATTATCTATATTATATTTCCTTTTTTTCCATTTACTGATCTCATCTGTGTTGACACAAAGTAGCAAACTGCACTAGTCTGGTGACATTTTTATGGTTTCAGAAAGTATAGATTCTGTGCGACGATACTTTAGCTACCCACCCCACCGTATTCCTATATGTGCAACAAGGATTGATTTCTGCATTTTAACTATAGATTTGTCTATATTTATTTTACACAAACCGGACTGCCCCCTATAATGATACTAATAATAATAATCAATCACCAATTATTTGAAAAAGAAATAAAAAAATGTCTTTAGACTAAATACACAGAAACGAATAGTTTGCCCAGCGATTAAGCCAATGCGATGCTCTAACATTGTTTTCAGGTGTGAAGTACTTATCAGGACATGTAATATGGTTCTTTTTTCTTTCTTGACTGCAAGATAAGCAAAAAATACCGCTGTATTTTTAATACGCAACTACCCGTTTCACATTATATGGTTTATTCAAATAACATAGTGTCCAAATAAGAAAACAAAAAGCAGTGTAAACAGTAAAATCATTGGCAGTTCAATTCAACTCAGCTGCAGTTACATGTGGCACAGAAAACAGTATTCAGTAACCAGCTGTGTACTATAATAGTAATAGTAATAGTTAAACAGCAATGAAAGAGAGAGCTCTATATATACCCTATGTTCTTATATCCTGAAACTGCTAGAATTGCTAATGGGAGCTCCTGGAAGTTTCGTACGTACTATGACTAGAAGAATCTATGATACTATCATCTAACTGAATTCTTGAATATCCTTACAAGTCCCTTCGATTATCACAACAATTACAGATAGGCCTTTAGAATGACAAAGAAAAAAAAGAAAATAACATAGATAGGATGTAAGCCATTCGAGGTGAAAAGAAAAACCTTTTTGTTTATTTTTCATTTGCAATTTGCGTAACGTAGAAATTAAAAGTGTTTTATCCGAAAAAGTGAGAGAGAGAGAGAGAGAGAGAGAGAGAGAGAGAGAGAGAGAGAGAGAAAAGAACGACAAAGATAAAAGAAAAAGACCGTCATGCCGTCATGATGGTGCTGGGCGAAACACGCTGCCTTTGTCTTGTCCATTGCTTGTTTAATGCCCCAACCAAGCACGGTCAAGATATCTAAAAGGTGTGTAATTGACCAGCTGCTATTATTTTCACACTGACCAACGCTTGACCAGATAACCCTCACAGATAACCACGGCGACGGTTACGCTAGAAGATGGTACAGTTATTGTCGTTGTTTTCTAACGGTTTCGTAATAACGAAGGCCGCAGCTTTCACTTTATATCAAGCTGTCCGTGTTACATAAGAAAAATAAAGGTGGTGTGGAAACAGCTGTGAGTGTACATTGTACCTATCATGCACAGTTTTTCTCTTCATCAGCGTGTTTTTCTTTTGCTTTGTAATCAGTTATTATATACATCGTGGGTATTAGTAAATGCATAGAGCTACATGTAGACCCACACCTATTTAAATGTTTTGAAAAAAAAAAACACCAACATTTACCCCGGCATACACTGGAAATCGGATATGTTCAAACGTGACCAATACACCAATAAAAATATGTTTGAAAATACATGAATAAATAAGAAAATAACGGACTGGTCTTTATGCATATGTTGTGGAAGTGGTCATTTCCGGTGAAGTGTATATATCTTACCTCTCTAAGCCGATTCGTGGGAATTTTGTTCCGTGGTAAATGTAATTGTGCCGTGCGCTGAGGCCCTCAGAGCTTGTACAAAGATCCTTTTAAAGTGAAGAGCATGTGTACCCTAACCTACAAATGTATTGTTCATGGAACTTGAAGTGAAAAATATAAGCCTTAAATTTCTCCTACACGTCATCGATATCGTTAAGTATAGTGGAAAGAGTTAAATTGCAAACATCAGCTGAGATAATTGTAGAAGACCTCGGCGGCACTCATATACTGTAGACTACTTTAGCTGTGTGTCATGTTAGCTGCGCACATGTTCCTTGATTGCCACGTTAAATTTAAACTGAAAGGAATTAATCATTAATTCTTGATTATGCCATTCATAGTTGAAGCTAATCAAATAACGAGGCTTGATACAAGCAAACTTTATTCATTATTCAGTTTACAATTAATGGCTTTGAAAATATTGGCAATTAATGCAAGTTTTAACAGTAAGGTGTAGTTAATCAAGTTACGTTGGGCAATATATTATCACTACTTTTATTTTAGTAGAAAAAAAGAACATAAACAGATATCAAACAATTTGATCCAAATTTTCAGATGCAAGAAAATACCTGTATACATGCACTGTTTATACGCAATAGTTATTTCCATTCCATTCCGGCACTGAATAGTCGCCATAAATAACGTTTAGAAATTATAATAATGATCAAGAAAAATACATATGGCAAACTGCGGCAAGTCATGCAATTTCCTTGTCGCATAAGTGTCGCGGCGAATGATATTCCACTTAGCAAAACCTTAAGAATGTACCGGCAGTCCAAATCTTTAATCAAAGTGTTAAGCCTGTCCTGAAATAATCGAACCCCGTTATCTACGTGGTGTAATGATACAACTCGATCGCGTGTTGTGAAATGGCAACGACGGAATATACATGGGAAACATGGTTTTTCAGATTAAAAAATAGTTTGTTAAAATTATACGCCGATCGCGAGCGTCATCCCTGTTCTCCTCGTGCTACAGTGGATTTCGGAGCAAGTTGCCCTGTTTCTGATTTCAGCGAGTAGCTTTCGTCATCTCAGACACTTCCTAGCTGAGTTATGCCATAATTAAATCAGAGACAGAAAAAGAGCTCTACGTGAAATTCCAAATTTTAAACCGCTTATCATATACATCAAGCAAAACTGATCTTTGGATCACTGAAAGACCGATCACGTACCTTTCTTATTTTTTAACTTGCATTGTTATATATGTTTTATTTTCATGCTTCATGTTAGCTAATGCTTCAAGTTATTATTATTGTTATAATTAGTTATTCAATTTTTTCGTGATCGGTAATTTTTTCTTTTCATGTTATTAAGTTGTGTTATGTTATTCCAAAATTTACAAGGCTGGATGCTAAGGTTAATGGTATACAAAAGGTTAGCTGGATTCATTAGCTGCTAAATCCATGCATCAAAATGCATCTGTTCATTTTATTGTACTTGATTCTGGTTCGCGATGGGTAAATTGTAGATCTATCCAAATTAAAGCGTGTTGAACAATGAATGCACTTATAGACAAAATCATTTCAATTCAAATATAGAAGATGGCTGTAGATAAGCATCATGTCAACGCATTTTATAAATTCGTTGTTCCCGTAAATCTTGTTCACTGTTGCCATAGACCTTTCGTAATTGTTTCCGTTGCATTTGTAATTTACAATTGACTAATTATTCATGTTGTACAGGAGTAAGTATTGGAATTTATTGTGTTTTTAATATCTTCTTATTGGGATTTATGAAGCTACGAGCATGTATGCCCAAAATGTGTGGACGTATTTTGCCTGTACAGATTTAGCACGTACGTGCTTACCGCGCGTCAAATTTATTTTCAATATACCCTATCATATTTCTTTTACTTCAAAGGCTTTAGACAAAGAGTAAGTTTTTATGGTGCAAACGGACATATCAAAATTTGTCAACATATTTAGTAAGAGAACAAGTCGAAAAAAAATAAAGTAACATTTTGGATGCTATCTTTCAATTATTAGATTGATTTATGGATGTAAGGCCGAAATGGTGCAAGCGACAATACGGACTTTATTTACGGACTTTACTTTGAACTTTATTTGCAGATATCTAGAAGAGAAAGAGGAAAACAGTAGTTTTCCTATGATAGCCGTTAAGATTTGTTCCTATTATATATGATTTAACACTCCATTATGGGATAGAAAACTTCTCACATAATAAGAAAAACAATGATTCCTTTAAATATATTTAATATCAGATTACATCAATCAACGTATTTTAAAAAGGAAAAGGGAAACAAAGATAAATAACAAACTTCAATAAAATATTAACCAAAGACAAAGTGCGGCAATATTCGTCGCTAGGCAAACGAATTCATTAATCAGAGAAAAAAAAATTACTATTAATTGTACAGGATACCTGTTTTGAACACGAAATACAATGTGTCTGCAGATTAGTACAGTTAGGCCAATTTACATCCGGTATATCAGTTACAATAATGATCCTTTGTATTTCTAATGAAGAGAAGTAGACTAACGAGCAAATCCCCTAAATCATGCCCCTAATTAACAACTGCTAATATAACAGTTGTTAATTGTGAAGTGACTGGTAGTGCAAATTATTCCATTCTAATACATAATGAATATATGGAAAAATAGAGAGCCAGTTAATGTAAATAAAACATAGATTTACAACTCCACAAATTTATCATTAACGATTGATCAATTTAAATATGAAATATATGAATGGATTATAATCACCGAATACAGAACCAGGCACGACTTAAATGTCCTTGAAAATTAGTGCAATTGTTGCAATATGTTCATAGACCACCGTATATATACATCCCCTTTTGTCAAACCATATCAACATTGGTGTTCATGCAGAAAACAAAACATAAATAGTTATATTAATAACACACCCACTTTGGCAACTAATATACAACGATTGATAACATACTTAAATATCTAATATAAAACTGATCACAATAACAAATCATGCTTGTTGGAGAGGGTTCTTGTTGTTTGAGTGCTAGGTACTTGTATAACATCATACGTATCACGTGTATTTATACTATTTATCTGCGTGAGCACGCACGTTGCCACGCATGTGTGTTGAGAACGAATGTTGCACACAGGAAAAGCATCAGTTAAAAAGAGATCTAAATAATGATTGTTCAATAATAACGCCTCATTTAGCTTATTAGTCCCAGTGCATTAAATGTACTGAAATAGTGAAAACAGCCAACCCAATAGCCAGAAATACGCCTTTTACTGGAATCAAATGGCAACACTATGCACAGTTTACCTTAAACCTATGTACAAGGATTTCAAATATTTTTTATAGAAATGTTCAGTTTAATACTTTATGATACACTTGTAGATTGACAGCTATTTAAAATAATTGAAGTATAATAATGTTCTTTACATGGTTATAAAGTTAAAGTTACACTGCGAAATATTATACTGTACACCTCGGCCGATTCGAATAAATAATATATATCAGAATATATCTGTACACATATATGGTAACACGGGCTATTTGGCATGCTGTATATGGCATTCAATAGTATTCCTAAACCTGATTAACACGAGTGTAAATTACAATGACAATGTCGGCGCTTTACCTTATGTCCATTAGTATAGAAATTGTCTCTGAAACAAAACAATCAAATTCATCCCTGCTCACACGACAAAACACATAAAATCCAATTTATGTACACTGGCATGCATTGAATTAAACAGACTTGTGTTCGTAAGCACCGTCAAGGAGCGGTTTCTAATTGGCCGCCATTGACGCCAAAGAGCGCTGCAGCGGTTCGCTTCCTAGGGCGATTTGGCAACGTTTCCAGTGCACACTCAACTCTACTTGGCTCTGAAACACTCTTTGGCAGCTCTGACATTTATATGGGGTTGAAAACAGGCGGCGAGGCGACCCCCCGGGCGCTGTCAACGAGTTGGTAGTAGCAACGGCAGTGCCTGTTTCTTTAACGTCCATAGGCGCCTCCTCTTGTTCCGTTTTAGTGTTTATCAGTGCAACCTCTCCTGCTTTTGTAGCCTTGACCTTCTCCGCACTTTGACCATTTGGCATGGCCTCCTTGACGTCCGGATCACTCAGCTCTTCTTTGATTAGAACTCCAATTCTGGAGTAATCTGGTGTGACGTCATCCCGGCAACAGCTTTCGCCATTTCCGCATTTCTTATTTTCGGCAGAATGCGTACAGGTGATGCGGTCTGTGAACAGGGATTTCTTGTAACGATACTTCTTATGTGGATAATCGCCCTGTTTCGTGCGCCTTACCGGGAAGTCGTCGTCATCGCACACATCGATATAGTCAGTGTCACTATCATCGGAGGAGAAAGCCTCAGACGAGAGAGCCGAGCCTCCAGACATTGAGTGTGAAAGACGACCATTACTGCTTTGTCCTTCCTCCTCGTGTTCCATATCGTATGGCTCGTCATGCATGTCTGATGACGTCACAATGTCCATGTGATCATTAGATCCCACGTCAATGTCGGATTCAGTTGAAGATTGCTTCTGAATAATGGGTGAGCTTTGTTCGCTGGGTGTTTCAGAATGACGCTTCTTGTGGCGTTCGAGGTTACTTTTATGGCTGGTGGCGTACCCGCAAACGGAGCACACGAAATCTTTACGCCCGCTGTGGACGCTTACGTGACGCTTTAATAACGCTTTTCGGCAAAAACTCCGCCCGCAGATACGGCAGTTGTAGCCATCGCGATGGCACGTGACGACATGATGACGTAACATAGCTTTATTTGGAAATATGATGTCACAACACTCGAGAAGCTTTGTGCATGACTGGTGCATGGTTATGATGTGACGCTTCAAATTGTTTTTTCTGTCCGTTATGTAATGGCATTGATGACAACGGAACATCTTCTTGTCCAACAACGGAGACCGAATCTCCTCCCATGGTAACGGGGCGCTGAGTAGGTTCGGTTGCTGATCACGAAACATGAAGCGATCGTGCTGACTTCTGGCGGCGTGCAGGAAGTGATCCAGCGGATTGAAGAAGTAATGGGTCGTCATGGCCGGGGGGAGCACGGGGAAAGGTGGCATAGCGGGCATGTCGACGCCAGCGTGCGCTGCCTGGAGCATACGGTGTTTGGCGGCCAGTAACATCTCGGGCGAGAAGTAAAATGTTTTCATAGCCATTGTCATTGGTATGTGGTCTGGAATTAAAAAGAAAAGAATTATACAATAAACAAAAGAAAAAATGCAAAATAAATAAATAAATAAATAAACACGCCAGTATAACCTGAAATATAGAATACAAATTATTATTAGTAATGTAGGCCACTGGAGATCGGCTGTAATATTAGAAAAACAATAGTGGTTTGAAGACGAATAACATTTGGGATGGTGGGTGAAGAATTCAAATAAATGACGGCTAGAATAATACAAAAAAAAAAAAAAAAACATATATTCTGTCGCATTGAATGGGCACTCTCATGCATTTGTTAGGGCAGTTCGTATGGAATAATAATAAAATTAAACAACAACAACAACAACAATAATAATAATAATAATAATAATAATTAAAACGCACACAGATGTAAATGAATTCACCTACTCAATGACCGAAAAAAGGAGTATCATGATACGATAGCATCTACACGCACATAAAATTCTTGTTCTTCACTATGGAATCGCACCAAAATCTGCTTAGCGCCCAACCACAATAATAAACAGTTTTTTTTCTTTATAACCACCAATCCGTTTATCACATATGCCACAAGAATGGGTATAACTATTTCTAAAATCCCGTTTGATTCCAATGTGTGGAAGTTTCAGGGTAAAGGGTGTGGAAATATTAACAATAGCAATATAAGAAGGGTGTTGGTGCACAGTGTATCTTTGAAGTCAAATCTTATTTCGCCATGCCAACTGAAAAGAGGTACACCAGTACACATGCACTATGCACTAGTTCTTTTCTGACATGAGCGCTAACAATGCTGTCAATATTTTAAATAAGCTTCCAGTAAAAAAAAGTTCACCATCTGTGTTCTATTCACATACAGCAGTACCTTCAAACGAACAGTTTGGCAACACATACTGGAGTGGAAACAGCCCTGATTTTAATTGTTTTTTTTTAAGAAACTTTATTGTATTAAAGCAGCATATTTTACACGAATGCATAAGTCATGGCTTCATACATGTTTGTATAAGAAACACTTTGCGTTTTTGAGAGGCAATGCCTGAGAAATGCCCTGTTAATGATTTTGCTATTTTTAAAATCTGAATTTGTATTTTTTTTATAAAAGATTTCATCGACGTGCAGAATATGCTGTGGTGCACGCTTCATTTTGGCGCAGGGGTAGGGTCAAGTTTAATGTTTCCTTTAATATGTTAAATATACCCATTTCTTAAATTATACTTACACTGTCTTCTCAAAAAGCGCGTAAAGCATATTAGTTTTTAATTTTTCTGTGCTATTCAAATGCTTCTCAAAGAAAAATTAAATTAAATTAAGATACGGATCAACCAGAAATAATATATTGAACGTTCAGAGTGTTTATCCTGAATGGTAAAATTTGTCATAAATGAAATACTTTAAAACCTCAGGCCCATTTTAAAAAGAACATCAATCTACTGCACATACATACAAGTGGGAACAAAGAATAAAGTTAAAAAGTCTATATATTAGATTATTTATCAAAGATGCATAATGAGCAGCAAAGAAAATGAATAGACCATCATGTGATTTTAAAGGTAATCAGTTTAAAATATTTGAACAGAGATCTTACCTCTGTAATATAAATGTCCCAATCGTGGCTATATTCCTTGTGCTGATACATTTGCAAATTGTCTTATTGAGTTGAGTATTATATTTAATGAATATTTTATGGCTTTTGATATCGAAGGTATTTGATGGGGGATGGAGGTTTTTCAAAGACGACTGTGGGATTGAACAGTCTGCCTGTCGAAACGGTACAAATAAACATACGGGTTTGCTGACTGAAAACCCCGATTATCAATAAAAGAAGAAGATGAAAGGAGGATATAAAAATAATTATTTTCAAAAGACCGTCCGCCTTATGTGAACTTCTTTTAATGTGAGCATAATCTTTCTTTTTGTCAGTAGTCGTTCGTGCCTTTATCTACTTTGCCTCGTTTTTTTTTTGTTAGGGCAATTCGAATTATTTGTTTTTATCGGCTACTTAGATAATCACGGGGATGTTTAAGTAAAAAAAAAAAAGGAACTGAATATTTATCATTGTTTTAAATCTGTGAAATTGAAAAGAACAATATACTCACCGAATACGCGATATCTTTACTTAGCTAAAACGTCGTTGTCGATCAACTGTCAACGGGGAGAAGTAGATAAGCTAACCTGTTGCTCTGCAAACCTCTTCAATTCGTTTTCGGAGTAGTCACCTATCAGAAATCGGCTGCTTAACAAGAGGGAATCCAACTAGACTTTTACTGCCTGTTTTCTGAGATAATTAACTCTACACCGAGGTTTTATATGCTAATGACATCCTTTCAAGAACGTTGTTCAATTATCGCCTTTCACCTCAGAAGAGGGAAATATCGCAGCACATGTCACTCGTACACGTGCGCTACCTGGAACAATATTGTTGCGTAGTTTATGCATCCGAAGTTCACTTTATGTAAATTTCTTTTTTTCTTATTCAGAAGTTTGAATTCTGTCCAAACACAGATTTCATTTTAACGTTTTTCGTTTTAAAAAAATTGTCACTTATGTCATACGTGCAACGACTCTGTCGACGAGAGGGTGGCAATTATGGTTGTAAACTTAGTTCACCCGAAACCTCCTCGACTGTTTAAGACCCTCAAAAGAAATTTTGTCCCTGGAATAAACGGACTTGGTGAGCTGCACTGGAGGTTTCTAACCTGTGCGATCGTAAAATCCCATCTGTAGCACACGCTGATGTGAATCCTCTCTTTATATCTGTCAAGACCTTCACTCGATTTTCATCAATTTCATTCGTCTTTAGGTCGTCCTGTTTACTACATAACTTGAATTAAAACTTTGCACTGTCAGTAGTGGTAATCAAGCCCTAAAATGAAGACGTCCTCGTAGTATTGTCTATCTTGTCCTCTCTCAAAACGATCAAGTGTGCTTTGTGAATCACGATGAGGTCTAGTTTATACGTGCCTTTCCACGCGTGATGTACTCACCAAGTCACATTTAGATTAGGGTAAACTCACCTCGCCTCTCTTGCCTAAATCTACCTGTTAGCGCTACCCTCGTCATGAGCCGTCATCACTCCTCACGCCTCTTTACAAGATACCGATCAAAGAAAGGCGCAGACACAAAGATGCGCGCCACTAAGACCCTAAGTGACTCCGTTCCGGTCTGTTGTCTCCCAGTCTTTTCTTTATACCCTCCTCGCCTCATTTCCGTAGTGATTTATCAGTTTTCCGGACACTTAGTCTTTATTTTACAGAGGGCTGTATCTGATCGCATCACCTTCCAAAGCTCCGTGCCAACTACTGTATTTACTGCTGGCGTGATTTATTTGGTCTTTTAGTTACTTTTTCCCTGATACGCTATTGCAAAGGAAGGGTGGCCACGAGATAAGAGAGAGAAAAAACCAAAACAGTGGAAACAAGACAAAGGCTGAGCGTAAATTAGGTCCTACTGTGGGTTTTACACCTCACTTTTCATAAAGACTAGTAATTTTGTTCTTAAAATAAACTTACAGTAAGATACATTTTTATAGCTGCTTTTAGTATGTGTAAAACAAGCGCGTGTTTATGAGCATTTGTTTATGAATGAGCGTGTGCATGTCCACGGGATTGCATTTGCTCTCACACACTCACTTGTGCTTAGGATGGGTGAATAAATAAATAAATAAATAAATAAATAAATAAATAAATAATTTTGCTGATTCAAAAATAAATGAAAGATAGTCAGAGAGATAGAGTAAAGGAAAGAATATATGCAGTAAAGAATTAATAATAAGAAATGATTTAATCAAGAATGATATTGCCCTTCCCCCGCGCTCAACAAGAGTTCAAAGAGTTCAAAATAGCACAATGATCAAAATGAAGATATGAATAGGGTGACAACTATGAACCGATTTCTAACCGCCTGTGACAGTGGCGCACTTCCCAGCCAAATGAAGTTGTCATTTGTCCGCTGCAGGCCCGTAGCCAGGGGGGGGGGGGGGGGGGTTCGGGGGGTTCGAAAGAACCACCTTTTTTGCTGGGAAAAGGTCCACTCTGGGTAAAATTTGACCCTTGAGGATTTTATGGTAAAAGGTCCACTTTTTCAGAAAACGAACCCCCCCCCCTCTGAAATTGCTGGCTACGGGCCTGCGCTGCGTATGCCCACATATGCATTATCACAAAACATAAGACATATTCGGCAGAATTCATAAATACCATTAAAACCATGGTAGTATAACAGTAATACTCCCATGTTTAAACATATCTATGTTTTATTTTCATTTTTAAGAGTTAATGGCAATATGTTGAGCTCAAAATTCAACACATAATTAACAGCACGTTTAAACCTAATTGCGTAAGGGATTGTCACAAACACGTGGCAAAGTGAACGACTTAATTACAACAGTTGACATTACGTGAACTTTGGCTAATGGGGACAACTTTGGAACCCTGCATAGTATCCGCTTTTCTCTGAAGTCAACGAGCAAAATTTTAATTGCATTGGGTGGAATGTACATGAAAGGGTCCCATTGGGGAATTTCGTTGTCCGTGAAAGTCACTTTTTGTTTCCCCGAGATGCATGAAACGTTCATTTTATTTAGCGTTATTAGTGAAGCACTCCATTCTCGTGACTCTTGAATGCGGCCTTTCATTCTACGCCCTTCGTGAAACCAAGTCATTAAACCTTGTGATTCGTGATTTTCAGGATTTTTGACGAGCATTATCAGTGAGATATGAACAAAGTTGTATCAACTGTAATTTGTGAATTAATGATATTATTTCCCGTGAATTGTTATTATTATCTCCCCTACCCCCATTGGGTCTCTCATCCAACTTCTATAGAATAGCAATAACCTACATCGCTTGATGTCTTCAAGTTGAAATACATATTTTTTTTCTTTATATCAGTAAGATTTTACAACAAGTGATACTTTTTTTATTAAATTTGGAATCAAAAGAAAATAATGGGTGCCAACAATATGCTTATTAATTTGTATATGGCGGTGCACTATTTAAGATGAAATCATAAGTGGCGACAAGTTTTAGACTCATTACTTTTACATGTAGGCAAAATGACACTTGTAACACGATTTTTTCATGTTAAGTGACATTTTAGAGAGACAAAATGAAAAAAATCTATCTTCATGTTATTCATCTACAATTTTTCAGCATGTATCAAGCCCCTGCACGTCTAACGTCTTAAAATCATAGACGTCACCTTTCTTGATTGCAATTTAAACCTTCCGCCATTTAAGATTGGACATGAAATCAGTGGTTTCGGTTTATAAATGAGTATATTGGACTTTGAAATCCGTATATCTATCAAGTTTAATTCCACCTACACGACCAATTTGCCCTTTCAGTGATCTTTTGACCGATCCCCATGAAAATTCAAACAATACCAGTATACAAATACGCTTACTTAACAGAACACTCACTATGGCATTCCAATCATGGTAGAGGCTTTAGGTGCTGTTTGTTTGATAGTAGTAACGAAAATAATAAAAACGCAAAAAAAAAAAAAAAAAAAAAAAAAAAAAAAAAAAATTTATAGCTCGAGGTAGAACGCCTTGACATTCCTCATTTTAATAGACCGTTTATACCGTATACTTGTATATCCCGGAGGTTTACAATAATCTAATATTCGACATTTACATGGTACATGTAGTACTTTCCAGATACCCTTTCGTAATACGCACATGGCTGAATAGTTGAATATATAAATGAATACACAGATGATAATATTTAGTTAAATAAAAATAAAAAAGATTAGAAAAAATGTTTAAGACACGCCCATACTTATTTCCGGGTGGCATACAATGATGAAATGCTGAATACATGTACTGACCAACATTGATGGCAATACTTTATAAAATTCTTTCTGTCACACATAAAAAGTATACAGAAAAACGAGTGAATGAAGACAAAGATGGGCACATAAACGAATAATTAATCGGATAGTTCATAAAATGATCAAATAGTAGATCAAAATAAATCAACACTTTCAAAGTTCCAGTTATTAACCCGGTCGTTTCCATACCCAGCACACTGGAAACAATCACCGAAACTTAAATGTCAAACGTTTAAATTAGTCGGTTACTGCAATATTTTCTTCAGGGTCATGTTTTAAAAACCTGTACACTGACAAAATCCGTATATAAAGTTTAAATTCTTAAACAAGTTGGAAATCACCACCAACGTGGCCTGCTTTGTGTTTACGACCAGTCCGTTATGATAAGGGCTAACTAAATGCGTGAATATACGCTACTCAGAATCATAAATTTTAAGACCACCACACCACACATGCCGGTAGATATAGTTTCACGTCTGTTGATTCCTTTTTGCATCGAAAACTAAACAAATCTGATCGACAAACATGCGTGTATCTCTATTAAAGAACGTTTTTTATTTGTCTATTGTCGATCCAGACGAGCGCCGTTGTGTCTGAAACTCTTCCCAACTGTCCCCCATATTCTGTTCTACTATAAGTCATGGTCTTGTTAAGTGTTATCGGTTACATTCACAGCGGCGCGAAGTCGAGAGTGAGAACTTAAGATATACGATTTAATTGCGCGAAACGGCTTTCTATTTAGTAGCCGAGACTATTAGTCTGCTCGTTCCCTCACGGAGGACTGTAAATGAAAGAGAAAAAACTGCTACTGAAGCATGTGGACACAGAAAGCGAATTATGAATCTACTATAAAGGTATTATCAGCGTTGCTCGAGAAAGAAAAGGATTTGCGACTCTGTTTTTGCAATTAGAGAAACCTTCGCCCCGAGCTACTCTAGTTGGATATTGAAATGGACATATTGAAATGAAAAGGAAAAAAAAAACGTAGAAAGATAATAGAAAAAAATTGATATAATATACCACTTCCACCATTACCAGTATAAACGCAGAACACTGATATCAAATATAGTGATATCAAAATTATCTAAATCTCAGTCTTGTAAATATTGAGTTTGCATGGTGTCCGTTTTTTACTTGTAACGTTCAAATTGGCATAAAAGGCAAAGATCGGTAGTTTACCATGGCGTCCTCAGCTCTGAGGATTTACGTGAAAACTAAGTATATCTGACAGTCGATTCCTTTTGTCTCCAGACTCCAGTCTATTATTGAAAATTCATAACCGTTAGATCTAGGTAATATAATATTGTTTATAAAATCATCAATAATTGTCTTAAAAAGTCGCATTATACATGCGTTTCAATGTTTCTCACATAAACAAATTAAGAACCATAAAGAAAATATGATTTAAAATTAATTTAAAAAGTTGATATTATCACAAGTGATCCGAAAACCTAACGCCAGAAAAACAGTTATTTTAAGTTATGTGAGGATTTTTTGTGCATTTTTACCTAGAATGCCCTGTTATCAGAGAAATAAGCCTAAGTGATTACGACATATTTGATACCCTACTGATTGGCTAGGTAAATATGAATTGACGTGAAGTACAACAGTGCGGCGACGCTTGTACTTTTCACCATTTTTTTTATCGTGAAAAGTAATGGAATTTAATAACAGCGCTTAAATCTTCCTATGGTTTAGTGCTATTATAAATACGCATTTTTTAAAACTCAGCTGGGCCTCATCCCGGTTGGAAAGAAATCTAGAGGCAGAAAAAGCCTCCTGTTCCAAAACCAACTAAAGAAAAACACAGGAATGACCACACAAAGAAAAATGTGGGATGCAAAAAGGAATCGGACGCTGAAACTGGCCTTAAAGGTCGCCGAGGGTCATAACGACCATGGTTCGAGAGAGAGAGAGAGAGAGAGAGAGAGAGAGNCCTTTTTTGCTGGGAAAAGGTCCACTCTGGGTAAAATTTGATCTATGTACTTGAGGATTTTATGGTAAAAGGTCCACTTTTTCAGAAAACGAACCCTCCCACTCTGAAATTGCTGGCTACGGGCCTGCGCTGCGTATGCCCGCACATGCATTATCACAAAACATAAGACATATTCGGCAGAATTCATAAATACCATTAAAACCATGGTAGTATAACAGTAATACTCCCATGTTTAAACATATCTATGTT